AGATGGTGGCTCAGCTTTCAAAGGTAGAGTCGAGGTGTTGTGTTGTTGAGTTGTCGGTAGGGGATGGGAATGAGAGAACACCGGGCCAGCCAGCGGTGCGGGCCACATAAAGGGCTCGCGCTTCAGGGCCGTCACTCGGCGTGGAGAGCCGTTTCGACAAGTTTGCCTGACATTTCGCGCCACACGCAGGCTGCGGGCCGCCATCTGGCCGTACTCCCGTCAAGCCCGTTGGCCCGACCATCTCACATTCCAGCATCTTCTCCGCGGCCGCGAGGGCAGCACAGAGCGCTGGCTCTAGTGATGACAGTCGGCACGAAAGTAACAGAAATTTCGCTGTATTATTTCTATCTTCCGCCGAATCGATAAATTATGTACAAGCGGAGAAATGAGTCAAGAAAACAAAAGGAAAAACCAGGCTGAGCTCAGACGCGGTCGGCCATCGCCTTGGTCTCGCGGTAGCGCTGATTGTCGCGGTAGAAGGAGTCGTTCTCGTGCGCGAAGGTGGTAGTGGCGGGGGTGCCCAGGTGGGTGGGGGCCGCGTTGCGGCGGACCAGGCGCACCGCGATCCAGATTGCCGTGGCGGTCAGGAGGGCCAGGCACACCATCACCGGCACCGCGATGGCCAGCACCAGGGCCGACAGCTCGAGGGTGCTCAGCTCGTCGCTGTGCGTGCGGCCCGTGAGGTGGTCGCTCGACGACGTCAAGTCAGCGACGGCTCCGGCTTCGTCCGCGTCACCGTCATCGTCACTGTCGGCGGCCGTCAGGGGCTTGGCCAGGTGGTAGTGATGGTGGTGGCCAGCCGCCTGAGCTTGGTCGTCGTTGTGGTCGCGTGAGTCCAACACCTGATTTTCGTCGACGTCGCGCATCGCCTGCTCTTCGTCGACATCGTCCGCGAATTCGTCGTTGTGGGTCGGCTCGTCGCTGTCGACGTCGTCGAATTCGCGCTCGCTGCCGAACCCTTCGGCGGAGCTCTCGGGGTCCTCGCGGTGGTGGTGCTTGTGGCCGCCCTTCTTGCCGCTGAGGTGGCAGTGCGGCGAGGGCGACGGCGAGTGCGAGTGCTTGAGGTGGCAGTGGGGCGACGGGCTCGCGCTCGGGTGGCACGGCGCAGAGGCAGAGGGACTCGGGCTCGCGCTCGGGTGGCACGGCGAGTGCGAGGGCGAGCTCGAGGGACTCGGGCTCGCGCTCGGGTGGCACGGCGAGTGCGAGGGCGAGCTCGAGGGCGAAGGCGAGGGCGAGGGCGAGCTCGAGGGCGAAGGCGAGCTCGAGGGGAACGGGAACGGCCTGCCGGTGGGACTCGTCGGCGGGAACGAAGGTGCCACCGAAGAAGAGGGCGAGGGGCTCGTCGAAGGTGACGCCGAAGGCGAAGCGCTCGGCGACGACGAGGGGCTCGATGAAGGCAACGAGCTCGGCGACGACGAAGGCGACGATGAGGGTGATGACGTGGGCGAGCTGGAGCTCGTGGGTGACGACGTGAGCGAAGAGCTGGGCGACGAGGAGGGGCTCGACGACGGCAAAGCGCTGGGCGACGAACTGGGGGAGGCCGAAGGCGTGGACGAGCTCGAAGATGAGGGCGAAGGGTGGCACGGCGATTGCGAGGGCGACGAAGAGGGCGACGAAGAGGGCGACGAAGAAGCCGAAGGCGACGGATGGCACGGCGAGTGCGAGGGCGAAGCCGAAGGCGATTCGCAAGGGGAGCGGGAGGCCGACGGCGAGCTCGAGGGCGACGCAGAGGGTGAGGGCGAAGCCGAAGGCGACTCGCAAGGGGAGCGGGAGGCCGACGGCGAGCTCGAGGGCGAGGGCGACGCGGAGGGCGAGGGCGAGGCCGAAGCCGAGGGGAACGGGAACGGCCTGCCGGTGGGACTTGTCGGCGGGAACGACGGCGCTGACGAAGGCGACGCCGAGGGCGAAGCGCTGGGCGAGCTTGAGGGACTCGACGAGGGAGACGACGAGGGAGACGACGTCGGCGACGAGCTGGACGACGAGCTGGGCGAGCTGGAGGGCGACGACGACGGGCTCGACGAGGGTAAGGCCGAAGGAGAGCTGGTAGACGAAGGCGAGGGGTGGCACGGCGAGTGCGAGGGCGACGAAGAGGGCGAAGCCGAAGGCGACGGATGGCACGGCGAGTGCGAGGGCGAAGCCGAAGTCGATGGGTGGCACGGCGAGTGCGAGGGCGACGAAGAGGGCGAAGGGTGGCACGGTGAGTGCGACGGCGACGAAGAGGGCGAAGCCGAAGGCGACGACGAGGCCGACGGGTGGCACGGCGAGTGCGAAGGCGATGCGGAGGGCGAGGGCGAGGACGAGGGCGTCGTCGAGGGGAACGGGAACGGCCTGCCGGTGGGACTCGTCGGCGGGAACGACGGCGCCACCGAAGAGGAGGGCGAGGGGCTCGACGAAGGCGACGACGAAGCGCTGGGCGAGCTCGAGGGGCTCGAAGAGGGCGAGCTGGTCGGCCATGACGAAGGCGAGCTCGAGGGCGACGAAGTGGGCGAGCTGGACGGCGAGTTCGAGGGCGACGAAGTGGGCGAGCTGGACGGCGAGTTCGAGGGCGACGACGTCGGGGAGGGGGTGGGCGAGTTGGAAGGCGATGAAGTGGGCGAGCTGGACGGCGAGCTTGAGGGCGACGACGAGGGCGAGCTCGAGGGGGAAGAAGACGGGCTAGACGAGGGCGACGGGTGGCACGGCGAGGGCGAGGGCGACGCAGACGGCGAAGGGTGGCACGGCGAGGGCGAGGGCGAAGGCGAGGGCGACGGGTGGCACGGCGAATGGGAAGGCGACGTGGAGGGCGACGCGGAGGGCGAAGGGTGGCACGGCGAGTGCGAAGCCGAGGGCGAGGCGGAGGGCGAGGGCGAGGGCGAGGCCGAAGTCGAAGGGAACGGAAACGGCCTGCCGGTGGGACTCGGCGGGAACGACGGCGCCACCGAGGAGGAGGGCGAGGGACTCGACGAAGGCGACACTGAGGCGCTGGGCGAAGCGCTGGGCGAGCTCGAGGGACTAGACGAAGGCGACGCCGAGGCGCTGGGCGAGCTGGTCGGTGACGACGTGGGCGAGCTCGACGGGGTGGAGCTCGGGGAAGAGGTGGGGGACGAACTAGGCGTGGTCGAGGGCGTCGGCGAGTGAGACGGCGAAATCGAGGGCGAGGTCGAGGGCGCACACGGCGAGTGAGACGGCGAGGGCGCACACGGGGGAGTGGGTCGGCGAAGACGAGCGCGAGGGCGAGGGCGCACACGGCGAGCGGGTCGGCGAAGACGAGCGCGAGGGCGCACACGGC